TGCGCCCAAGAATGGCAGAGTCAGTTCATCGGCGGGTCGAATGACAGAGGAAAATCAAATTAATGTTGAGAATGGTGTTGCGTTAAAACCAGTCCCTCGAATAATGTTGAAACTGAACATTGGTGGATCTGATATGGACATCTTATACGATCCCGGAAGCATGTATACGATGATCACTCGCTGCGCATATGACGAATTGAAAATCAAGCCACCTTTGGTTCCCGTAAACCGTAGCGGAATTGGAATTTCTGGTGAAACTTTCCGTTTGGATGGTGTTGCGTACTTGAATATCAAGTTTTTACGTGAAGATGGAACGTCATACATACTTGAATACCAGCCGGTACTGGTGTCATCAGCTATTTCTTCTAACGTTTTGGGCATGGATACCGAGTTGAATTTTAAAGGAGCTGTCAGAGATCATTTTAATAATTTAATTACATTTGTTCCCTCGTCTGGAGATCAAGTTGTTATTAAATATTGGAAGGAGAAGAAGGATACGAATACTGCATATGTTCATGTTCCCAAGGCAACTATTATTCCTGCAGAATCTATCAAAATGGTACCATCAAAGATAATCAATTCAAAGAAGGATGTTTTAAAGGACGCTCCATGTGTATTTGAACCAATTAAAGAGAGTCGTGATGGCCTGGAACTTAGCGATGTGTTTCTGCAGAGCGCTTCAAAAGTTGTTGATTTACCAGTGTTAAATGACAGTAGCGAAGATATGTTGTTATCAAAAGGTGAAGTCCTAGGAGTTGTCAACTCAGTAGAGCAAGCACAAGAAACAATATTCAGAAACAGTGCTCCAAATGCATTAGCTGTACATGAGTCTACTTTATCAGAAGATGAACTCAGCCCTAAGTTACAACACTTAGACGAAGTAACTAGATCTACAGTAGTACGCATTCTAACAGGTTACCAAAAAAATCTTACAAAGGTGCCTGTTGTCAGTCATGCTCATCATGAAATCCATCTCAAGGACAATGTACCAGTTTCACAGCCAGCTCGACGTCTTCCATACAATCAGCGTAAAGAGATTCTATCACAAATTGACGAACTTCTTGAGAACGATATCATTGAACCGTCAACTTCTCCTTATAGTTCACCAATTGTAACAGTGAAAAAGAAGGATGGAAGCTATCGAATGTGCGTAGACTATCGTGCATTAAAATTCAAAAACTGTTCCATTTACGTTTCCTATTCCAAGAATTGATGAATTGCTTGACAAGCTTCATAGAGGCGCAGTTTTTAGCGTTCTTGACTTAAAGAACGGCTATCACCATATCCCTATTAAAGAAGAGGATCGGGCTAAAACAGCTTTTGTTTTACCAAATGCGAAGTACCAATGGAAGAGAATGCCGTTTGGATTAGTTGGTGCTCCTTACAGCTTTGCTGCAACTATGACTGACATTTTGAAAGGTACGGAAGATTATGTTGCCTGTTATTTTGATGACATTCTGATTTTCAGCAATGACATTAAAAGTCATTTTGAGCATCTGACACATGTTTTGAATAAGCTTGCCTCAGCTGGTATGAAAATTAATCAAAGGAAATGTGACTTTGTGAAGCAGGAAGTCGAGTTTGTTGGTCATCGTGTGTCTAAACAAGGTGTGTAACCAGTTGAAAGGAAGCTCAAAGACATTATTGATTTTAAGGAACCCATCAATACGGATCAACTGCGTTCCTTCTTAGGACTGGCAGGATTTTACAAAAAGTTTGTTGAAAATTTTGCAATGATTGCAGAGCCGTTGTACAGTCTTTTGCGGAAGCGAAGTCAATTTGAGTGGACAGAATCCTGTCAAGAGGCATTCCAGTTAATCAAGCAGCGTTTGGAGAATGTCGGGTTTCTATGTTACCCTCAATTTGAGAAACCTTTTGTCTTGGCCATTGATGCATGTGACAATGGCCTAGGTTATGTCCTGTCGCAAGAGGTGAATGGTACACTTAAACCACTTCAATTTGGTGGCAGAGTATTAACACGAGCAGAGCGAAGGTATTCAGTTACTGACAAGGAATTACTCGCAGTATTTTACGCCGTCAAGAAACTGGAAGTGTACTTATATGGTGCGGCATTTATGGTATATACCGACCACAAGCCACTAACGTATCTGAATTCCTTCAAAGATATTTTAAATCGTCGATATCGATGGATTGAATATTTACAAGAAATGGGTGTAAAGATCGCTTACGTTTCGGGAAAGGAAAACACTTGATGCCCACGGAGGATATTCCATGTACCTGGCGAAGGATTTGTTTGACAATGATGAATTTGCTGCAGCACAGCATGATGACGAAGAGATGCAATTGATTTTTCAGTATCTAGATGGTGGTGGTAAGTCCAATTTGAAAGATATTCTACCTAGACATTTTAGGCCACATTTGCGCAAGTTATCTATCAATGATAAAGGATTTCTTGTTTACAAGCATCATTCAAAGTCACTTGTTGTTTTACCAAAAATATTTCGATTGGAAGTTCTTACACTACGTCATTCTGAATGGTGCTCAGGACATTTTGCTGAATTTAAAACACACAGACGAGTCTGAGAGAAATTTTGGTGGCCTGGGCTATTACAGGATGTCAAGGACTATATAAAGGAATGTACAATCTGTTTGAAAATAAAGCCTCAAACCAAAAAGGTTGCCAAAATGGGGAAGAGGAACTTTCCGTGTAAGCCTTTGGATCTTATATCTATTGACTTTCTTGTTAATCTGCCAGTTTCAAGACAAGGTAATTCTATTATACTTGTTGTGAATGACGTTTTCTCAAAGTACATTCAACTTTATCCTTTGCGAGATCGAGCAGCTGAGTCTGCTGCAAAGTGTTTGATTGACTATTCAATGCGATTTGGTATCCCTAAAGCAGTACTCTCTGATCAAGATCCAGCCTTTGAAAGTAAAATTTTTCAATCGTTAATGCAAGGGCTTGGAATTGATAAACGGAGAACAACAGCCTACAACCCAAGATCTAATGGCCTAACTGAACAATCTAATAGCATCGTGAAAACGTATTTAACAGCAGCGTTAGAACAAAATAAGCTTGTTTGCAATGTTTGGGATAAATGGTTACGAGAAGCTTGCTATGCATACAACACCAGCGTTCACTCTACCACGAGATTCAGCCCTGCTGAACTTATGTCTGGTCGTCGTTTCAGAGTACCTATCGATATTCTGTATGGTACCTTTGAGAACACTGAGTCAAATTTAAGCTTACAATCATATAAAGATAATTTGAATTCAATGTACGATACTGGAAGAGAACACATGAATCAACGAAAAGGTCGTTATGCTGCATATCATGATAAGAATGTTATTGATGATAAACTGTCTGTTGGTGATTATGTATATGTTTATTTACCACGACTTGCGAGAGTTAAGCTGATTGCTAAATGGAATGGACCATTTAAGATCATAAGAGCATCACATCCAGTCTACAGCATTGAAATTCCTTCGAATAAAGGTACATTGATTAAAACAATAACGCGTGATAAATTGAAAAGAGCTCCTGAATCTGTCATGAACACTACTGTTCTGCATGTACCTACAGATGATGTTACCAACTCTCAATCCTCTGATGAGATCGACAGCGAGGAAGAGCTTGATGAACCACGTTATAACTTGCGTCCAAGAAGGAATGTTGTACGTTACAATGAAGAACTAATTTCGTTCGTTACAATGATTTCGTAACATTTTATGCCTGACGCTCTTTTCAAGGGGGGAGGAGTGTTGTAATATATGTTTAGAATAAATATCGTTGCTCTTTTGTTCTTAATATTATCATGCTGTCCGTAGTCGATATTGGTTTTAAAGCACGCTTAGCTGCATATTGTTGTGTTAAAGTAATTGATTGATGGATCTATTGTTTAGCTCAGTTGGAGTTGGGAGAGGGTGCTCAAGTTGGAGAGTAGTCGGTGATCGAGTAGTTTGAAGTGAAGTTTTCAAGTGTTTAAAGTTGTCAAGATCGTTCGTTGTCAAGAATGGAATTTATTATAATAATAACTTGTAAATAGTATATATATATATATATATATATCGTGTTTATTTCATTGTGGATTTTGCTACCATACACCGACCAGCCTTAAAAAGCACAACAACTCACTCGCTTATCCAGATTTTACCTCGTCTACTCCACTAAATGTTCACTCATTCATTTCTGCAGATGTTCACCTCGTTCAGTTATCAAGGTATTCTTTACATGCTACCGCCCAGGCCCCCGCGCACTTATTTGTCTACATTTTTAATCGATCATTGATCAAACTGTTCTTGTGACTATGATTCAACAAAAAGATCATACCTGTCAATTCAGTTATATGGTCTTTTAAGTCTTCGATCTTTCTATCTGCTGCAAACTTGACTCTAAAATTTTGTTTATTCCATATTATTCTAAAGTCTATTGTTTCTAAATTTTCAGCATTGTCGCAAGCAGTTTTCAGACTTTCACCAATCTCATTTTCGCTTTCATTCAGTTCTTCTTCAACTGTTCCTGTCATGGAAAAATGTCAGAATGGAAGAATTATTACTAATCGTCTGATATCAACTTAGTGAACAAGGATTAAAGTCAATAAATTGAATTCATTCAAAACAACATGAAATACTAGCAGAGCAGCAAAAGATATAAATGTGAAAAAAAGTGCCCTTGTAGCTTTAACTGTTGTCTTCTAAAGCTGTGCTGCTATCTGCCTTCTCCTTAAAGGGTGACAAAGAAAGATCTATCTGACTTTCAACTACACTTTCTTATTTACGCAAAAAACACAAGAAACTGTAGACAGAACACTTGACTGCTTTTCTTCCAACTGATTATTTACTTCTTGACGCATGCAGAACAGTAAGCCACTGAAGATTTATGTATGTTAATGATATAGGCACGACTTTGTCTCACAGAATATTGTCAAAATAAGCAAATTGTAAAATCGTTATTGGATACGACCACAGCCGCACGAGGGACAGGTAGGATTGAGAAGTATCGTATTACAGATTGAAAATTGTCAACGAATCGGAGAGAAAAATTGTGGATCGTATTTCGTTGATTTATCGTATAAAGAGAATACTAAAGGAAAGATAAAGACTACAGGGATGTAAAGTACATTCGTTTACGTATTCTTCGTTATTTTTATTCGCATTTAACCCGTTTTCAGCCGCATTTTTCAGCCAAAGAAGCTTCGTTCGTTTGTTTACCTATAGTCCAGTGGCTGGAGGGGGAGCATTACCACCTAGAAGGTTTTCTAGGGTAGTTTTTGGTGCAGATTTCGAATCTGGATGTTGATCAGGCTGTTTGGGAGGCTTTTCTGAGATACGGGGGTTTAAGTCTTATTAGGGTGGTGTCTTTGGATAACGATATACTTTGTTTTTAGAGCACAAACAGTGCTAAAAATAAGCGTATATCAATGAAACCTACAAAAACCAAATTGCTTTTCATCATTGGTGCCAATTCAGATTATTGGGGAGAGAGCTTACACAAAAATCTATTGTTTAGTGTGCTGTTATCAAATCAGTTATTACGCGCACAAAATATGCGAAGTCTTTAGTTCAAAAAGCCTTTCTGTAGTTGTTTCTTGTAGTATTCAAGATATTTTAAAAGGTCCTATGTGTCATATGAAATATCCAGACGGAATAATCTTGTTTCATAGGAAAGAGTAGCTTGTCGACTCCATTCGTTTGACAGTGTTTCCATGTGCTGCCACATGACCTACTTTGTTGTTTTGGGATACCGCTGGACTCTTTCTTACAGTTCTATTTATATTCAACATTGACTAGCATTGGCTGAAAGATTTGATTGTGGACCCCTTAAAATAAGGTTCTGTTCTTCAGAACCTATTCTTTACGTTAGACTTTCATCAACGTTTCTACTTCAAGAATGTAACTTAAAGATCATAAAATATCTTAGTTTTTGCTAATTACAAACCATAAACGACGCTTCCCTTTTATATCTATCTCGCGATGTGGAAGAATCATGCAAATATGGCAGAAAGAAGTGAGAAATGTTTGTTATTCACTATGGATATTTGGAATTTGTAAATAAGAACTTAACCCCCCATGTCATCAAAAACCTATGATAGGATCTTGAAAAGCAGAGATGCAAGAATCAAACCCTCAGGACCCCATCATCATGAAAAGAAGATTAGAGGAATACCCGAACAGTTACTCCAGGATAGCATTTTTTTTAGATCTTGCTCAGGGTCGAAACTTCACTATTTTCATTAGGGGGGTATGAAGCTTAGATACCCGACGAAAGGGCGTGTCGTGCTGGATAAAAGGGCGTGTCATGCCTGAACATCATTTTTACGAGATAGGGTCACTGCTAGGCCTTCAGACTCAGGCTGTTTTTCAGAGTCAAGAAATATGCCTCTTGTTTTTCTGGTGTTGGCTTCCGTTTACATCTGTTTCCGAAAAGCAAGCATTTGTAAGGCCTGTCTTTTCTATTAATGAAAAATAGTCTTCACTTTCTAAATCACCTAGCTATTAAGAGAGCAATTTAAATAAAAGATTGAAGTAGGGTCTAAATTTTGTCACAGTCAAACAACAAAACACAGCGTGGAAATTTCGGAATTTAGAAACAGCTGCGCAGACTACAATATTCTAACAAAAAAGGGGTTCAGTTGCATTTTCTGAGTTTGATTTTCAACTTTCGGCTGCGCCCGAGAGAATTTAAGCACTTTTAGACACCCAAGCACAAAGTATGTATCTTCGAATTCACCCTAACAAAATCCCTCAAACTTGTGTAAAGAACACTTTTTCATTGGAAATATTTTATAGGTACACCTATCATCAAAGCCAGGCACCGCGCAGCAATTGGGCTAGCAGGAGCTATAGCCCACCCATTTTGCAATAATAGACTAGAAACTTTTTTTGAAGGTTTACTCTAACGTAACTTGGGATAGTTTACCATTATGTAGTAGCAGTTCTCATTGACTGGGAACCATTTTTGTTCTTTTTCTAGGTGTTTCATTTTGTTTAATGATATGATGTGTTTTCTATTTTGGTTAGCTTGGTTTTTTATTTCCCTCGAGCTAATTCTATCTATTTTTATAGTGTTTGATATGTTCTCTGAACCAGACTGTTTATAAAAATTCAATAGAAATAAGCAAATATTTTCTAAAAGGGGCGTTTTCTGGCGTTCCAGAGGGCGTGGCCTCAAAAAATTTTCGGTCTCACCCATTTCAGCCCCTCCACTTTTAGAGTGGTGCGCGGTCCCTGATCAAAGCTCAATTTTTGTGTTTTCGTAATCATGGATATTGTTCGGAAATAGAAGAAACTCGAAAGTTCTTTGTAATTCATATCTTAATTATAATTCTTTGATAAATTTTATATTATTTCCGGCTTGAACTGTCGGCTTAAAACTTCCTGTTACTTGTTACAGCTATTTGAATTTTTTTAGTTAAAAACTTTGGCAGCTGTACGGCCATTTTTGGCGAAGGGTGCAATACTTTCGGACCGTAAGTGTAAAACCTTAAGAGAATTTCGGGGCATAACTCCTTATGAATATATGATGAAAATTTCGTACATTTGGAAAGGAATATGTTGCTTGATTTTTCTCAACAACGAATTCCGAGATGGCATATTCTTCATGCTTTGATTTATGATGCTTCTGAAATTGTCAGTGTTCCATGGGCTCCGATGCCGGATGGAAAGTGGGGGTGGGGGTGGTTCAAGAGAAAATTTAGCAATCATAACAAAAGATTCTGAAAAAAGCTCTCTTGTTTTGCAAAAAGTGGGGGACATGCCCTGTGTTCATTTCCGTTTTGCATCAAACACACTTTACTTTCAGTCTATACTTTGCTGTCGATCAATACTTTAGACTCTACCTCCGCATCTCGAGGCGAGATAAACATGTGCTCGTCGAGCTCGAGACGAAAGCGCTGATCAGTGGACGAAAAACAGAAATGTATATATGTTGCTGTTGCTTGCCTCGTTTCTGTTTGGTTTTCCCAACTGGACAGAAATTGAGAAAAGGATGGGGGAAAAGACCATAAATTCAAAAACCAAGCTAGGGCAACAAGTAACAATAAAAGTGCGACCTTAAGAAAATTTCCAGATTTGCCCGACCGATTAAATTAGCAGCGATAATTTGCCCGACAAAATCTGCTTTTTTGAAGATTGGGGGGGGGGTGCAGCACCCCCCAGGAGTTTCGCCACTGATCTTGCTACCAGGACTTTACTAAATCCATTGTAGTGAAAAAAGATAAAGGCCAAAAAGATTGCAAAAAAGCATTCCCCTTTGTAAAAAGAAAGAAGGCTGTGTGTGCTGAAAACCACTTCCCGAAACTTTCCATAAAGTGTTCGTCTCCAAAAGCAATCAAGGGAAGAAGCAGCCAATCTGTGTAGTGTAGACATTCTCAGCTTGTAAAACACTTAAAGTGCTACTGACATGAAAAATCAAAATTTTGCAAAAGGCTTTGAAAAATCAAATTCTAAAAAAAGTGATGAACTCGATTTTACTCTGCTTTCGTTCAGAGTAAAATTCCCAATAGATAGAGGATTAACAGCAGATAAGCGCATTAAATTCTGCAGCGAAAACGGAAAATTTTAGTATGTTACACGATCACTTTTCAGCATGTTGGTCCAATATCGAAAAAAGTGATGGTAAAAAGTGATCGTGTAACCCGGCCTTTAGGCATTAAACATCACTGATTCTACATCTGCAAATATTTTTTCAAGATAAGGGCAATAAGTTCGTTTTTGGGGGGCTCGAGTCATAGAAGGTTTTTCGAAAAGAGTCTGAGGAGAGTGACGCATTCTGGTGTGTTATTATACGGTTTACGGTCACGAAACCCCAACGGAGCCTAGAAAATGTCCAGCAACCTAAGGTCGGAAAGGAATTTCCAGATTCAAACGTTTCATCTAACGATGAGGAAGTTGTATCGGAAGTGAGAGAACAAATTTTGAAGACGGAAACATTGAAATGATGTTACAGCCGGATGAGAAAGATCCATTACCACCTTCCTCTGATGATGGGTGAACATGTGGTGGCGAAGCCGACACTTGGCTAATTATTCAAATTTCAATTCGGATAAAGATAATAAAAAGTTTTCTCAAGGGAGAAAACTGGATCGATTTCTGTTGATTTATTTATTCTTTTCTTAACAAGACGCACTTTACATCCCAAGGTAAGCAGACATTTTTGACGTGGCCTATGTGTTCCCGTAAATTGACATTCGATATGAAACATCACAACCTGATGTGAACTGATCTTCAACACTAGAGCCAAAGCAAGACAACTAAATCGACTCAAAACAACATAAAAACAACCTTTTTTCGAATTTATACTAATTTTAAGTGTAAAACTACAATAATCGAATTCCCTGTACAACAACAAGCTCCAGGAACACCCCTGGCTGAAGACACCAGCACATAGAAAACCCCTAAGTACACTTGTAATAATGTTCCGAACCGATTGAAACTTTGTAGAGTTGCTAAAATTAACGTGCATAAAATATATTTAGTTCCCTCTTGTTTTTTTCTGGTTTTATGAGAATATCTGAAACG